TGCAAGGGACGTAATTTTGTAATAACTGTGCTTATGAGAATTGCAAGTTGTGAGCAAAACGGCTAGTCTTGGACGGGACTCGATCCTTGATTGTGATTCCCAGCCACCTTGCCCTCTACCCTTTACACCATTGGAACTCTTCTTGTCTACGCCTTCTTGGTGACATTCCAGTCACAAGGGCGAGGGCGGGGAGGGCTCTGTAATGTAAGGAATAAAGGGTGCTGTGTCTGTCAAGCTCAAACCTATTTTATAAGCTTTTACACAAGTAATCATAATAAATTTCCTGAACAGCCTGTTGCTCTGAAAGAGAGAATTGCTCTTGTTTATTGAAGTGGAAGATTGAATTGTAAAATTATCACTGAGAAATGAAGCAAGTGGCGGGGGCGCATATGGAATAAAGCCAGTTTTCATTCCAAAAGCGAAACTAAAAATCGGGACGCTGTTCCTGATAGTTCCTGCAGTTTTTCAGAATGTGTATTGAATGAAAATCTTTCACCATACATCTTTCAAGAATGTTGGCCCGTTCGGCTGTTCGCCGACTTGTTCACGTCAGAAGTATAGCATCGACATCAGGAGACTCACCGAACGTTAAAAAGGTAACTTAAGATTTCAATTTATACGTTACTGTCAGCTATTCTTTACTACTGATAAAAGGGATTTTTTACTGGAAGAGCCCATTTAATTGTAGGTTTACTCTTCCATCATCGATATGGGTTATGGTATAAAGGTGTAAAAGTTCTTCTAAAATTGATTCATTTTATCGTTCATTTTGTTGATGGGTACGCCAAAGCTGTAGGGAACGAGGCAGAGATGTAATCACAGTTTACAATTTTCGCTTCCACTTAAAAACTCGTTTTTTCTTGAATATCTGGTTAATTATTGCGACTGAAGGCTTGTAGCTCAGCATATTAGCGTTAGGACTGTAAAANTTTTTTTTTTTTTGAATCTTTGGTTGATTTTTTTGTCTGAAGGCTGTAGCACAGCATATTAGCGCTAGGACAGTAGTACTACTATTCTCTGAAACCCTTATAGTTTGTTACAGATTACACCTGTAGATGAATACACTCAACGACTTCTAGCCACTCCTCCATCACGATTACCAAAAATGTTCCAACGCCTTAGAGCTGCTTGGAAGAACAAATTCAGAAAAGATGAGATTGATCCTTTACTGAAGAATGTGAGTTCCTCCTGTCAGATTTCTATTTCTCTTTTGGTGAATTTCTTTTCATTTTAGCAGTGGCATTACTGTAGGGAATGGATTCCTTTGTGATTTTTGATTGTTCAATGTTACAGCTACTTGATACAGCCTCTTCTCAACTTTATTATAACTGCGCAAACAACTATGATTATGAAAAATTGTGCCAAGGTTGGATTTTGTTCTGTAAACAGTAATAATTGGAATACTTATGCGAATACTTTTTGTTTCAGCTTTTGGTTTACCTGATTACATGTCATCCTGGTACAAACTAACTTTGATGCATTGCTGGTAAGAATTGCTATTTTTAATGAAGCAGTTCAGTAGTTATTATATGCACTTACATTTCCTTCTTATGTCCAGGATGGTTTTACTAAGAATGCATTCGTCTCTTGATGCTCCAGCTTATCTGCGGTTACAGCATAGTATGCTGGCCACGATGTGGTTCGACATTGACTCGAGGCTGAAAATCGTCGGGGTATATTTTCATTCTTCTATTTATTTCCTTGTTTCTTGTCTTTTCTTTGTTTATTTGTTTCCTCACTATCCGTTTAACTCTCGTTTCATACATGGATTTCTACTTTGTTCTTCACTACCCCCGACCGTGTCGTTTCAGGAGGAATTAAAGCAAACTCTTACGGCGCAATCCGACATGAAAAAAATGCACGGCCTTCACTTACAGACGTTTTTAGAATACGACGAGGTAGGTTGGGTTATTGCAGAGCTTGATGTTATCTTTTTTTGGGATCACAAAAAATTTTGCTCGTTTCTTTGACTAGTACAACGTGCGCCCAGATTCGAGTGATAGCATTACTTCTTCTTCATAATAGTTTTCAGGGCTTTTTATCTGATGATCGAATGCTAGCTGCAGCTTTGTGGCGTTGCCTATACATCAGCAGATCGTTTGATCCGATACATGTTTTGAGAGCTATAGCTTACATGCGGTCGACGGTGTGTTTCACCATACAATGTTTCTTTTTTTTTTTNGTAGGTTGGGTCATTGTAGAGCTTGATGGTATCTTTTATTTGGGATCTCAAAAAATTTTACTCACATATTTGACTAGTGCAACGAGTATAATTCCTAATTAGTCAGTAATTGGGACGCCCATGTTTGAATGATAGCGTTTCTCTCTTTTCATAATATTTTTCAGGGCTTTTTATCTGATGATCGAATGCTAGCTGCAGCTTTGTGGCGTTGTCTATACATCAGCAGATCGTTTGATCCGATACATGTTTTGAGAGCTATAGCTTACATGCGGTCGACGGTATGTTGTACCACTCAGTAATTCCTTTCTTTTGACACTTTACCTTTCACTGTGCTCTATCAGCATTCCGAATGTTGCTTCCGATTGTTATCTCGAGCATGCTGATACCTGAGAAAATCAATCTGCTTCAGATCGAGCCCCATTAAACATTTGTTTTCCGCGCGCTCTTATCGATTGCAATCGCTTTAATGCTTTGGGAGGGGAAGCTCTGTTGGTTGTCAGGGTATGAGATTCGCGAAACGTGGCAGATTAGATTCCATCGGCTTGAGAAGTCGCGGAGCCGTAAAAATCCGAAATCGATTGGCTCACCTTGTTTTTAAAATGGATTTCGATGGCGTCTAGATGATCTCACGGTCCTCCTCTTTGAGCAGCGGCTTCGGCACGATTGAGTGCTGTGTGGTACTCCACTTTCATCTTGCTAATCATTTCCAACTAAAGCATAGGTTTTTCTGAAGCACTGGTTACAACATTGAGGGTAACGTACTCGATTTTCATAGTACTCGATTTTGTGCTGCAGTAAGTCATAAAACCATAATCAGGTCCTGTTGTGTTAAAATTACCCAAGAGTCTGAATTTTTCTTCACTGGTTCTGCTTCAAGTCCATCACAGTTTCGTTTTTTGTGGATGTTTTGTGGACATTCATATCATCCTTACTTTGCTCAATTTTTCAGGTGGCTTGGTTGGATACCCTCGACGAAAAGGATATCATGGCGGAAGGTATAAAGGAGTGGAAACAAATAAAATTGAAGGACTCCGTACGAGAAGAATCTTCAACTGATGATGCGAAAAATCAACAAAAAATCATTACTCGAACGGTATAACGACGTCACATTCTTAGGATTTAGGATCTAGTCTAGTTCTTTTCAAGTTGTTGAATTATTGTTGCTTGTTTTACCAGATTTGTAAGCACGATCGATTTGATTATTAAAAGCTCACCGGTTCCGTTTCTGATGTTGTCACCTGGGCACAATCTGCCTTGGTTTACATTTTATCAATTTGATTTTGATTTTAAAATGTCTTATCACAATTTTTAATAACGCTTTTTGTTGTGATTTGTTCGTTTTACCTTTTTGGCGATGAATATAGTATAAAAAGTGTGTAAGACGTACTTATAGAAGGCGCTGTCGCATTGTTGCCGCTGGATGAGATTAAAAGCGAATTTTTACTGTCCCATGTCGGCTTGCTGCCGGAGAAGTAGTTTCTTTCAAGGGGTCGAATATGGCCGAACTTCCTGACCTAGGTGGCAGATGTTTTTTTGAAAACTGTAAAAGGCTGGGTAGGTGCAGTATGTTCTCCGATTGGTCATTTCATTTTACGTGTGGCTTTGTTTCAGACTTTCTACCGTTTACATGCCCACTTTGCAAAGAATGTTTTTGGTTAGTTTGTGCTCACATATCTCAACATTTCAACAGAAAGATCGGGTTTCAAACTAGCTTCCTTAGGGTAGTACCCATCTCCTATCGAAGTTAAACCGTATTCCAAGCAGCGTTGTTGTCCAATAGATTCGATTTCCAAAATTATCTGATGACCGCTACTAGCATTCGAATAACTCCCTACTTTTACACCCAACACTTTGTGGTTACTAGAAAGTTAGGTGCGATGTATCTGCATGGACTGAAAGGCGTGATCAACATGAGATTACTAAGCCAACGCCGTTGGCCTCGTGCCAAGGCCTTTCGCTTTCGATACATTTTCATTTAATCAGGGTTAGAGTAGTTTAAACGAAACCTGTCACGGTTGTCTGACTGAGTTCCGGTGACGACTCAAAGAAACGCGACGGTAACAATGACAGTTCCTGACCCGTACCCCGTACTGAATACAATTACGTCCTTCCTTTAACTCATAGTGTTCTATGACTCCACGTCCATGTCCTACGTTTTTGCGTCCATAATGAAACGTAACTTCCACCCCTTTGTTCAATTTCTTACCGTTACGACGATCACGATTTTTCCTGAAGATGATGCTTTCTTGTAGCTCTGACCATCGATTCACTCATGGATGTGACAGCTCAAAGCAATATGACCCAAACACAGCTGTATCGTCTTCTTCTGGACCACTACGTAACTTTCTCTGTTCCTACAGTGATTGCAATGGAGCGGAGAGCATCAAAATCGTTTGCCCTTATTGCGAACGGAACTATTGCCTGAAGTAAGCACCATTTTAAAGATACTACTTGGAAGGCATGTTAAATAGCGGGAGATTCCAGACATCGTCATGCTGATGAACATTGCTGTGAGAATCTTCCCGAAAAGGTTGAGAAACCTCGGCCTCA